TTCTATTATAAAGAAAGGGCAAATAGCAATAGTAAAATATTTCTTCTAATTAATTTCTTTTCAATGTGCACAAATACATGCACCAGGCCACTAGTATTAATAATAAAGAAGACATCAAATACTTAATTTAAATTAAAAACCCCAACATGTTAGGTAATACAAACATTAATATAATTCAATATAATTCTAATATTAATCTGTTGTATCCCAGGCCACACAATATGAAAAACCTTTTAAAATCAGAGTCCCCTTTACAGGTCTGATTGCCTTTGCTAATGATTTACAATTTTGAATTTGTTTCTGTAAACTTTCACTGGTGTGGGTAGTGTAAGTTGAAAGCAATGCAGACAGGGAATATAGGAATTCAGTTCTGGAGTGGAGCCAGAGGTTGCTTTGAATAGAGGCAAGAAGCATTTTAATAAACTAGGAATGCTTTCTTGGGATTCTGTTTTAAAAATGTAAATCATACCCAAGCAACAGGGTGTGGTGATTTGTTTTGCAAATGAGGCAGATCTTTAAACTGCCAGGGCCTCTCTCTCCCCCACTCCTCCATATAAAAGATACACTGTTCACTTCAGATGAACTAGGCAATATTTGGATATTATGTGAATGTACTTATAAGAGTATTGGTGTTCTCTAGTTAGGGATTAACTCAACAATTTTCAACCTTTCTCATTTTATGATACATAAATTAATTACTAAAATTCTTCAGCACACCAAAGAATATATTCTATTTTTTTTGCCAATCTGACAAAAAAAAAAAATAGGTCTAATTTTGATACATTCACACTGGACTACTACTGTGTTATCTGTTGTCTTTTTAAAGAAAGATTGGGTAAAATTTTTAAAATTAATTTCAGGGAGAGGGAGACAGGGACAGAAACATCAATGTTGAGAGAGAATCATTCACTGGCTACCTCCACATGTCCCCTACTGGGGATCCAGCCTGCAACCTGGGCATGTGCCCTAACCAGGAATCAAACCAGACCTCTTGGCTCATGGGTCAATGCTCAACCACTGAGCTATACCAGCCAAGCTGTTTTTATGTGTTTTTGTTTTTTTTTTAATTTGAAAATCTAAGGGAAGTCAGTGTCTCTGACTAAATAGGGAGATATTGCATATTTCTTGTGGCATATGAGTTGAAAGTTATTAGCCTAACTCATTCCCAGGTGGTAGCATACATACTCTAAACCCAGTGATCTCTTAATGCTTTGAATTAAGATAACTGACCTTAGGCAGAGTTCTCATTACCAGGGGGTGTCTGGGGCCTGAGGAGAAAGGATTAGGCTCTCTAGGAAGAGTTTGCAGGCATGACTAGCACTGAAGGAGGGACTCTCACTGGCAAACCTTTAAAAGATCGCAACTGTACACATAACTCATTCTGGGATTCATTTAGATCTTTGGACAAAGTCTAAGCTTCCTATTGCATATAGTGGTCTCAACTGAGCACTTATTAATGGATCTATAATCTCTTTGTAGCTGTATGAGAAGGTCTTAAATATCTAAAACTTATAAACATGTGAGATGAGGCATGGCTCACAGTATTAGGTGATTGGCTTTTAGGGAAATATACAGCGTTAGGTTACAGACCTATATTTATTTTGCTCATTACTGGAAATGCTCTCATGCCTTAAGGCAGTTCCTGACCTCCACTTCTTACTTTTCTCTGTATTCTTTTCTCCCTATTTTGTGTGTGTGTGTATGTGGTGTAAAGAGAAAGAGGCAGAGGTACAGAATACAAATACCACATTATATATGACGTTTTTGAGCATCAGAGTTATAAGAAAATTGATGCAGTGCCACCCATTCCACTAGGAATTACAGGAGATAAACAGGACCCATAAGCCATTTAACTTGTTAAATTTTATCCAACTGCAATCTACTGATGCCCATTATTGTTCCGGTATTTCTTTTGCAAAGATCACAACAAAACTAACAATGGTCAAGATTTTCCCCCCAAATATCCTTTCCATTCACTTATCGAGAAATATTACGCAAAAACATCCCTGCCTTAGGACTGAAAGGATGGCTTTCAAAACCGACCTTCCTCCTGCTATTTCCTTTCATTGTACTTAGTTTCTGGATCCCCAGAGATGCAAAACTCTAGCTAATATGTTCCTTAGGATTCAAAAAGTAAGCAGGCAGTTTCCTAGAAACAAATCTGCTGGGATTCCATTTTTTTGATGTATGAATTTCACTGTGGGCAGGGGTGGGGATGCCACAACAAACAGGAATGAATGACAGGCAGGCCTGAGTCCCTGGCCTTTGTTCCCCTGGGGGAAGGTCTGCAATGAACTCGGCCTGCTGTGCGGCTATAGGAAACAGCATGTCTTTGTTTAGGTGGGAAAAGCGGGCTCTGTTACCTCAGTGCAGGAGAGCTGGCTGCATCAGATGAGCTGCCCGCAGCTTTGCTTGGGTGGCAGTCATCACATACACCAGCCTGAACGTATCTCCCCATTGGGGCAAATTCTGCTCAAGTTCAATTTTTCTCAAACACGTATTTTGAAAAACAAATAAAAACGATGGCAGCAAACTCTCGTTTTCTCTGAAGCCAGGCTCACCATGAGTGGAAGCATTGTGCTCAGCGAAAAAAGCCTGTTACAGGCCAGTACCCCCAGGACCCTGCAACAGGTTTGACAGCAGGCTCTATAGAGCCCGAGGCTTCCGGCTCAGTGCCCCTGAATGCCTCCAGTCCCTATCTGCTCCCTGCCCGAGCTGAGCCCTGCACAAAGGACCCGGAGATTTTAGCCAAGAAACGGGCACTCAGACTCTGGGTGCTTGCTGTAATTAGGACCTTCTTTATCTGCAACGGGTGACCACATTCATTATTTCAGTCATTAGAAATATTGCAAAACAGAAATAAGCATGTGTCCTTTGAGTCTGATTTATTGCACGTTTCTTATTGCAAAATAAAGTCTGTATAGCTGGGTCTGGACCAATGTGGCCAGCTCATTACAATGTCTGAAGTTTAGAAATTGTGAACTCACCCACATCTGCATGCATGCACGGCAACCCAGGGATATAAACCGTCTAAGATAGTTCTTAAAAAGTAAACAGGACTTACCCCTTTTTTCAGTTTATCAAAATAAGACATGCTCTTTTTTCGAGCTGATATAATAAGCAATGGAAATGCTGGGAAATAATAATAAGAGACCTTAAAAGTAGAAAGTACAGTAAAAATAAAAAGGCAATTGCTTGTAAGAAAGAAAAATAAAGCAGAGTAAAGGCAATGAAGAGCAAGTTGGAAAGGGGCTGCTACCTTAGATCAGGGGATGGCAAACATTTTAGGGGCTGGGGATCATATTCTCTGTGTCTTCAACTGCTCTGCCCTCGATTGCTAAGGCTGCCGTGGACAGCAGTGGACAAGTGGCAATCAAGGTGTTCCAATAAAACTTCACTAACAAAAACAGGCCATTGAGGGGGGAGGGATTGGGTGCAGAGGCCACAGTTTGGGTGCAGAGGCCCGTGTTCGTTAGATGGTTCTTCATAGAAGACCTCTCAGGTACACGAGACCTGTGTGTAGGGAAATGTATTCAGCGAGAGAGCAAGCCATGGGTATCTGAGGGAAGAAGGTTCCAGGCAGCTGCATGCTGTGATCTAGCCCAACATGGATTGCAATCTACTGAGTAAGCGGCTATAATCACTGACCTCAATTTACTCGTGTTTTAACGTGGTTGTCTCAAATGTGATTAAGTATTGCTCAATAGTCTACCAAGCCAACGCATCACAAGTTATCAAACCACTCCTTGTAATAACTGGTCATGTATTGTAAATTGTCCAGTTATTTGCTGTCACAAATTCTACAGCAGCAAACATGGTTGTATGTTGGATTGCTTGGCTACAGAAAGGCTCATTCATTCTAAAGGCTTTTTACAGCTCTTCTCCACACTACCATACGCATGCACACCTTAAACATTTGCAAAAGATAATGAGGGCTACCAACACAGAAAACTTCCTGTAGTGTGCTGTTAGGATCCTCTGTGCTCACCCAGGAAGTAGGAACCGGAGCAGCAAGGTCAGCAATGCTCATTTTTCAGGAGCAAGGAGTATAGCACCTGATGTCTGGGTTAAAATAATGCGTGATCTACTTACTCCCAAGCTATGGAACTTCTTTGTATCAAGATCTCCATGTCTTTAAAACAAGGTTAGTAATAACCACTCCATCACAGGGTTGCTGAAACTGCTAAATAATTATGTGAAGTCTCTAAAACTGTGCCTAGACCATGGTTAAGTACTCAAAAACATCACATTACAGTTATGGCCAGTATTCTTTTTTCGGGTGACTCATCTGTTCATTTTTATCTCCCCTTATCTTTGAAATGTTGTTATTCTTCTTAAGTTGTCCATTCGTGATTGCTATTTTCATCTATTTTATTTCCACGTGAAGAGCATAGAGAGAAGCAATAGATGTACATTAAATAGTACCCTACTTTACACCCAATAACTGATTTCATATTTGCCAGTGGATTGTATCTGACCTTTAATATTATTTTAAGTAGTAATCAAGCTTTTGACTTTTAGTATTAAGTCTGCCAGCTTTGTTGGCATGAAAGGACACATTCTAACAAAAGGAAGGAACAGATAAGATGATGACGGTCCTCCTGCAGTAGCTTAAGAAACAACAGCCCATTATCATCCGTGAAAATAATATTTATTTAGGAACTACTGTGTTTGAGACATGGACTTGGCCTAGTAGATGCGAAGAAATAGTCTTGTCATTGCCCTCAAGAGACATAATTATAATCTAGTATAATCTAGTTCATTCTTTTTTTTTTTTTTTTTTTTAGGAAAGGGGAGGGGGAGATGGGTTTACACTGTGTTAGGTTACAGTATTCGATGTAATGTGATATATCATTACACTATACCAGCCTTAATAATGTTTATGGCAGAGCACAAACACTGGAGGGGGGGAAAGAAATTCCCTTCGTTCATTTTAGGTTGCACTATCAAAATATGTCAAACTAGTTATGCCCCAAACACACATAGAAGGCTTTGCTCACCTCTGCATGTTCCTGGAGGCTTTCCTGGGAATGGAAAGAACAAAATCCCTATTATGCATTATGGGAGCATCACAAAGTTTTAAGGAAGGGCCTAGAGTGAAGGCTATTTCTTCATATATATTATATGAGCAGCCAAAATCACAGTACCTAGTACATGCAAGATGCTGAATTCAGGGAGGGAGGGGGAAAAAGAAAGGGTGAGAACTGAGTTGTATCATGGGCTATCTACTTACCCTTTCTCTCTCTAAGCTTTTACCATAATGATACATCTTTTCTTAGAGCTTTTTCTCTCTGGGAAAAAAAAAAAATGTATTTATTCATGCTCCAAAATTGCCACTCATCTCCCTGCTCTCATTTCTGAAAGGCAGCCATAATCACGGGGAGAAGCCTTTCCAGTTGCAAGGTGCTCTATTTCACTGCTAATATTAATGACCTACCGTGTACTGAGCCCTCTCCACAGGTGCCGGGAAGTGAACTGCTTTTAGTAGGGAGAGCAGCTCTTACTTAGGTGGAATAATTTCAGCGAGTCAGGCAGCCTTGGAAAGAGCCGCGTTGACTCAACTAAGAGAAAAAGAAGCTTCCAAGTAGAACAGAATAGGAGTGCGCCTTCCCCCGAGAGAGAAACGACGAGGCTGGTTTTCTACAATGAATTAGCAGAGTGGATGGTGACCTTCGACAGCGGCCTGTGGGTGCTGGCATTGGATGCAGCTTGGGGTGCAGTGCTCTTCACACCCACAGCCTGGGACAAGGGCGGCCCTCAGCTCAACTGGTGAGGTCTGTGGGGCTTGAGTGTCTGTAATGGATCAATAACTAAGGAATCTGCTGTGGAAAATGAATGGCAGAGCTCAGATGAAGAAAATGGACAGTCTGAAATTCAATTCATTATTGGCCCATAAATAAGAAAAGTTTAGATCAAAAAGGTTGTAGATAAAATATTTCCCCCTCCCAAAAGAAAAAATCCCAAATGAATGTTGAATTCAAAACTTTATTTCGGTGTTTCTACAAATGCATTAAAAGAAGCATGCTTACATGAGTGCTAACACTACGTTTTAAAAAATACACACTCAAAATGCAAAAGAAAGAACACTTTCTTTATTAGTGTGAAAGCAATCATTTGAAAATAAATCTGTCTTTTGGGGGAGGGGATATAATATTCCAACTGCCTAGATTTCCAAATAATTTTTTAAAACAAATAGTAATGTTTAGTCTGCAGCATCATCCATTCCCATAGCATACAATCCCACCTCCTGGAACCATGCAAGGAAAAGCCCTGGTGTAAACAAACCAAAGTATGGTACACAAAGAGGTAAATAGTCACATAAAGTGACTGCCTTGACTCTGTGAATTTGATTCGTTTTCTGTCTATGCTCCAAATAATCTCAGTAACATAATAAAATGTATTCACTAAGATTTTTTCTAAAACACTGGTATTTTTTTCTATGTGGCTTAATAAAGCATCAAATCTGTGGTCATAGCAAGTAATTTGAGAGAGCATAAGTCCTGGTGAATTCAGTGGAGAATTTTCAAAAAACAAAAAAAAAGAAAAGAGGAAGTTCTTCATATCCAGTGTATCCTAATTTTCAAACCACTGGAATTAAATAAACATAATGCAGGATTTGTACATTTTATGTGACAATCTTTATGTGACAACTCAGGGAAAGGTAATACTCCATGTCCTACTTATAAACTCTTAGTCTAAATTCATGATTTTAGTCGAGAAAGGAAATACCAATAAATTCTAATATTATTGTCAGTACTGTATTTGGGGAAAAAAAAAAAAAGATTCTATACGCTTATCTACACTGCCTCACCATAAATGGTGAAATAGCATGGAGAGCAAGTAGAGTAATCTAAAGACATTCCATCTAACACACTTTAATATAAACTGACACATTTCCGCACATATTTATAAGGCTTGATGGCCATTATTAGGCTGTAACTGCAGTTGTTCTAACACCTAATAAGCCATGGTTGAAAAAACAAAGGCAGGTTAATTTGTGATTTCCTCGACTCATTCAGAGGCAAATTAAGTGTCAAACAGCTAATACAGAACATATTTCACTTTATGAGATTTTAATTTAATTCTGCACAGTATCGCTGATGCCTTAATATAGGGCGGTTTATCTAAAAATAAGAGCGATTTATAAGCCTCTTTCAATAGAACCTTTAATGATAATATATGACAGCATAATTATTGCAGGCCCTGCCATCCCTCCTAACAGAGGTCTGCGAGCATTTCCATCAGCAAAACAAACCCTGTCTTCAAGACTTCTAATTGACATTTTAAAGTTGGCACCAGAAGAACAATTCTGAGTATAAAATCATGGGAATATCAACAAATTTTGTCTTCTTATAATTACAAATATTTATCCTAACAGCTTATAGTAAGCTCACTCGGTCTCGTTTTCTATAATACTAGAGGCCCGGTGCACAACATTCATGCACTTGAGGTGGGGGAGAGTCCCTCAGCCCAGCCTGCGCCCTTTTGCAGTTCGGGAGCCCTAGGGGGATGTCCGACTGACAGTGTAGGCCCGTTCCCTATGGGTGGCACTCCCCCTGAGGGAGTGCACTGACCACCAGGGGGCAGGCGCTCAATGCAGGAGATGACCCCTGGTGGTCAGTGTGCATCATAGCAACCGGTTGTTCTGCTGTTTGGTCAACTTGCATATTACCCTTTTATTATATAGGATAGTTCTATAGCACGCATTTTGAACTTCAAGAATCGGATTCATGATCTGTGACTGCTCGTCCACTGTTTCTCTGAATGGACAGTGTGGGTGTCTCCTGAGCACCTTTTACGAAGTACCTGGCGGAAACCACAAAACTAACAGGGACAGTGACCACTCCACAATAACGGACCAGGCAGGAGGCTCCGTGCTACAGGAAAGGCTCACACGAGGTGCTGTGAGGAACAGTCAGCAAAGGGTGGGGAGTGTAAGCAGGCCCTTGCCATGCAGAGCCAGAAGGCCACTGAGGGCCCTGCCGAGACAATGTCATATCATAGAGGCCCAGAGGTGTGGTTGGCACTAGTGATCCAGAGCCTACTTCATAAATTCAGTGTCTCCACCCAGGACCCTGCCAGGAGGCCAGAGGCCCAGGCTCCCCCCACGTGCTTCACTCCCAGGGCTGACATTTCCTCTCAGAACCTTCCAACTTCTCCTTTGAGGCTCAGTATTATGTAGCAGCCTTACGTTATGAACCTTTGGAAGGACAATTTAGTAAACGGCTGCTAAAGTATCCTAAAGCTTGGCTGGAAAAGAAGGAAGTACTAACATCTGTAAAAAATCCCAGTTCACCAGTCATATCTGAAATGCAATCCCTTCCCCCAGAATTTTCCAAACTCCACCTAAGTTAACCTTGTGGTGTTTTTATCACTTAGCGAGCTAACACTTTTGGCACAGCAATCGGGGCCCAGGGCACAGAATGTGGGCTGTATGAGGCTTGCTATTGTTATATTCTGCCAAAGCACCAATACCTGGGACTTCATTGATAAATTCATATTTGGATTTAATTCTAAGGCAAGCTATCATGAACCCAGAGGAACCAGTTCATGCAATCACATAGGCTCGTATTTTTTGAAATTCTTCTATAGCATGGTTTTTGAAAGAGTGAAAAAAACTCCGAAACCCCACAGAAAATCTGATTTAAATTACTATATCACTGCAGAGGCTGTGGAGTCTGGGAGAATCAGCCATGCAAAACCTCTGTGTAACGGGTGAATTACACTGCAGGTTTAAGCCTGAATTTGGAATTTCCTTCCCTTTGTAAGGGCATTTTAAATTGGCTTCTTGGTTTTATTTGCGTGTATTTCTAGCAAGCTTCAGAACCCTGGAAATGCTTATGTCCCAGTGAAAAGTGAGAAAAAAAGTCACTAGTTTCTGTGTTTTCTCTCTATAAATACTCACTTCTCCTATAATGCTTATAGAAGTCTGCAACACAGATTTATTACTTACCTCCAGGCAAATCTGCTCTGAAATTACAATTTAGCAACGGAGGACGGATCCAAAAAGCAGTTGGTAAAATATTATATGTGTACTTGGGCACATAGTTAGGGTTGTTAATATCAGTTAATTCTGTTCACAGAGGAGGACTTGTTTTAAAACAACCTCATTTTTCTTTGGCATATATGTAATTACACAGCTGTAACTAATAGCCAGGGAGATGCCATCTACCATCCAAATAACCAGCATTATTCTTCAAAGTATTATTTGTGCTTTTCTAACTTTACTGTCTCGAATGAAGGGTGATTACATATAACTAAATGCGTGTGTATGTCTGCGTGTATGTGTCCATTTCTAAAGGGTTCAAGTTTTCTGGACAGTACCAAAAAACACATACATATACAAACACATACAACACACACACACATACGCACATACAGTTTAGTTTGTAAGTCTACTATTTCTTTTCCCCCAAATTGAGTAAGATAATATTTGTTTCCACAAGACTTTCTTCTTCTTTCTTTTCTAATGTATGTTATCACCACCACTCCTTCCTTTTATCTTTGTGCAAACCATGTGCTCAATCACATTTGCCATTTTGTTTGGGTGACATTCCCATCAATCAAGTGACTATGGGTGTACACACCACAGGGGCTATGAAATTTACCATAGAAATTTCATTATGATTCATGCGATCCCTGGGACAAGACTTTCACAATAACAGAAAGTTCAGCGTGAAGAACTTCAAAGGCATTCTCAACCAAATGCATATTCTGTGTGGTATCCTCCTCCATTAGTCCTCTGTGTTTTAATTTAGTATTTACAGGCCACAGAACACACTTCACCAAACAAGATAGGAATTACTTGCCCGCTACCTAGCATGCAGTACGACGGGCATTTTTCAGGAAGCACTGGGATCTGTTTCAGTGGGTCCAGGAACAGATAGGCTTGCTACATTTCAAAAGTAAACCCTAAACGTCTGTCACAGTGGTCAGCAAACTCATTAGTCAACAGAGCCAAATATCAACAGTACAACGATTGAAATTTCTTTCGAGAGCCAATTTTTTTTAATTTAAACTTCTTCTAACGCCACTTCTTCGCCCAGACCATGGTATTTTGTGGAAGAGCCACACTCAAGGGGCCGAAGAGCCCCATGTGGCTCGAGAGCAGCAGTTTGCCGACCACTGGTCTATCACGTCTTTAATGCCCAATAGCCATGCTGAAAACGAAAGGTCCAGAGACAGTAGAAGCTGGTATTTTGTTCTGTTTCATTACTGGGTACGATATTAATACTTACACATGCAGTGGAGGAATCGGAGACGGATCATAATGGTAACGCCCCTCATGATGTCTGGCATCAATTGGCACAGGAGGGTGGAATGCAGGAAACAGGTGAGGAGGGTCTGAAAAAGAAAGTCCGACCTATATGAAAAGAATACTTTGGAATGCAATTCCAACCCGTGAAGCAACACTGCTGTGCTGTCTTCATAGCGTATGTTGAGCCTCCTTTGAGACTTTGTGTGGGAACTCTTTAAAGTGCATTATGAGGCTCCGTAATGCAGAAGTGCGACCGCGCCACAACCACCTGCAGCTGAGAAAGCAGAGCCTATGAATGAACAAAGCCCACGGAGGAAAGCAGGAAGGAAAGGCAGCCGGGCCTGCCCTGGAGGAAGGCTGGCCAGCATGGAAAGACTGGGCCACAGAATCAAAGGAAACAGATTGTGAGGCACTTATTTATTTTAAATTACTTTGTCAAGTGAATTTTAGGCCAAAATCAAATATAAATATTAGTTTCATTTATCCTATACCCATGATGTTTTTTAAGGGAAGGAGTCTATTCTAAAGTCCCTGCTGGAATCCATGGCATGTACACAACATCCCACATACATATATCACACACAACACACCCCCACACAAAACGCACATACCACACAGACACCATGCACGCATACCACACAGATGTTTCATATAGACATACAACACACCACATACAAAACACATACCCCACACACACCCCACATTCCACACCACACACAATACATGCCCCCCATCCATCCCACATCCACACACACCACAGATACACCACATACACAACACATACCCACCCTCTCCCACACACACACAATCATCACATACCATGCACATACTACACACGAGAAACACACATTTTTGTAATTTAAATGCATGCTCCCTTCGTTGGCCTGGTTATGCCTCCACCGTCCTGACACCAGGGCAGCCAATCCATAGGCTGGTGGCAGAAATGCTGTAGGAGAGGAGCTGACCCCTCAGACTTACAAGGGGTGGTTTGGGGCAAAATGGGGGCTTCCTACCTTTCAGCCCTCACTTTCACCTTGGCTCAATCCAGACCAGCCTCCCATCTTGTTCTGCTCAGGCTTGGGGTTCACAATTTCCTGGGTTCCTGTGTGCACCCTGAACACTAGGTCCTCTACTCCCGCTGACTTGTAGTAATCTATGCTAATGTCTGTCAAATCCGGAAGTTCTTTTCCCCCCTAAATAGTGATTCACTGCAAACACTGGAGTTTTGCTTCATTCTATCATTAGCATTATGGGGGTATTTTGTCACCGCCACTCCGAGTTTTTACCATGTTTCAAGAAGCAAAATGAAGAACTTCAAAGCCTGGAGATGTGCCTCCTAGGCTTTATATAAGCCTGATGTTACCGCAAACAAGCCCGCCTTGTTCTTTAATAGCGCCTGCCACGCAGTGGGGCCTGCACACAGCCAGCACGCTGCCTGTGAACTGGCACCGCTCCCGGGGATTGGTGTGTACATCACTGTGCCTCCTAAGGGCTTGGAGCCACTCCTACAAGTCTGAAGATCTGCCTGGACCTGAGGGCAGCAGGTGGTGCAGGCAGTTCCAGATGATGGCTGCAAGAAGCAACACAGAACCTGAGGGCGGAGTGTGTGTGCTGGGTGACGGTGCTGTGCCAGGCACAGAAAAGGGAGCTCCCTCTCTCCTCTCCCCCAACCCCGGGGAGCTCCTGAGTGCCTGTGGAGGGCTGGTGTGAGTGCCTGTGTGGTAAATTCGGGTGGTTCTCATTTTCCTCCCCATACATTTCTCTTTTCTGAATCTTCTACAAGCATCTTTTAGAATAGAAACCTAACCAGCTTTTAAAAACTATATATTTTCTATTTTGTTTATTTATTTTGTTCTTTAGATTCCGCATGTAAGTGAAATCAAGTGGGATCTGACTTTCTCTGCCTGGCTTATTTCTTTTTTTTCTTCTGACATTAAAATCCCTTCTTATGAAATCAACAAATAAAATAGAAACAGACTCATAAATGCAGAGAACAGACTGGAGGTTACCAGAGGGGGGAGAGTTTGGGGTCTGGGTGGAAAAGGTGAAGGGATTAAGAACTACACATTGGTAGTTACAAAATGCTCATAAGGATGTCAAGTACAGCACAGAGAAGGAATATAGTCAATGATGTTGTAATAACTGTGCATGGTGCCAGGTGGGTACTTGAAGTATTGGGGAGATCCCTTTGTAAAGGATATGATTATCTAATAGAGAGGCTAGGCCCCTGAATCTAACACAAAATAATACTAACTAGAAACTGTCACTGAAAGATAAAGTTTACAAAAATAAGTAAATACAATTATGTCTTATTTCCCTTGTTTTGGACAATGAAAAACTATTAACATAGCATAGATAGAATTCAAAGTTGTGATTCCACCAGATTTAGAACCTAGGAAACTTCCATGGCTGGGAAGAGACCATTGTACTGAGAATGTCAATTACTCGCCATATTTTGGGCTTCTTGTCAGATAAAGGGGTGAGGCAGTTCAGGGCGGTTCAGGGGAAGGAAAGGAACCATCTTGGCATGGTCCTAGCATTGCTGCTGAGATATTAGGATGTGCAACCCTGCTGGGATTCAACGGTGAGGGCTAAGCTACACGTTACACATTTTATAGAGTGCATACGAAAAAAAGCAATCCTGCCGAGACCGGTTTGGCTCAATGGATAGAGCGTCAGCTTGGGGACTGAAGGGTCCCGGGTTCGATTCCGGTCAAGGGCATGTACCTTGGTTGCGGGCATATCCCCAGTAGGGGGTGTGTAAGAGGCAGCTGATCGATGACTCTCATCGATGTTTCTAACTCTATCTCTCTCCCTTCCTCTCTGTACAAAATGAATAAAATATATTAAAAAAAAAAGAAAAAAAGAAAAAAAGAAAAAAGCAATCCTATTTTACATGCACCCCTGAGGACTTACTATTAACAGGTGTCCGAGTTGGGTGTTTTGTCAGGGAAATCTGGGTAGTTTGCCGGCCAAGTTTAAAAGTTTATCCACCACGGTTGTCACAGGCCGCGCTCCACATAACTCAGAGCAGAATGTCCGACTTTATTTAACCATTTTCAATAAAAACCATTCATCCTTCTGAAAACAGTGTAAGATGAAGTGGAGCAATCTTTCCCACTAGCTGGAAAGTCTGACACATCCCACTCAGTGAATGTTTCCCGATTTTAAGTTTGGAAACAGGCCCAAGTGAATCCGATTCCAGTCTGGGGTCAGGTGGGTGGCCAGAAGACGGCTCTTCTTCCTCTTCCTTTCCTCTCAGCAGCCACAGAGGAGGACACGCTTGCCTCCAGCAGACTTCCAACTTAACACATGCCATCTGCTCTTGGAAATCAGGGAATCTGCCTGCTAGACCTGTGTGTAAAGTAAGCATTCGTAAGGTCTAACCCACCTTAGAGAGGCTTCTCTGTACCATTTTATATGGCCGTTTTGAGGTAAATTGTGACAACTATGTCAAGGGTTGGAAGGTATTTTTACTTCCTTGTTTCTTCACTCTTGGCTGTGTTCTGCCTGATTAAATTCTCTCCACCGAATAAGTGGGTATTAGCTGTACCTGGCTTTCTCTAGGTGCATTATGACAAAGCACAAATCCACATTTTTCTCTTGTTTTTAAAATACATCTTTATTTACTTCAGAGAGGAAGAGAGAGGGAGAGAGAGACAGAAACATCTATGGTGAGAGAGAATCATTGATCGGCTACCTCCTACACACTCCCTACTGGGGATCGAGCCTGCAACCCGGACATGTGCCTTGACCAGAATGGAACCCGGAACCTTTCAGTCTGCAGGCTGTCGCTCTATCCACGGAATCAAACCAGCTAGGGCCACATTTTTCAAACACACAGGGATCAAATGTGTGAATTAGTTCCACATTCAAGATATGCCTCATCGATGCAGGAACTTACAGTCATTACCTATTATATGAGTATTTATAATAAAGTTACAGGAATTATGTGCATAGGAATGAAAACAAACCTGTTATTCCTATAAAATCAAGAGAGTATACCCCAAGGAAATCTTACAATTCTATCATGGATATTTAAAAGGCATTTCCATCTTTTAATTTTGGGAAATTATTCTAATGGGATTTTATTTCAACATCTCTGTCCTACCCTCTTTCCTTTTTTCAGGATGAAAGAGAAAATGACCAAGCACTGTAAAAACACCTGAGAGGAAAATATAAAACAATTACTGCACTCATTTCTCACTATGGAGTGTGTTTTGTGAGTATAAAAGTTAATTCTGACTGAAAGTCTGTGAGGCATTGTACAGCGCTGTTTGCACGGTCTTTACTTCTGTCCCAAGGAAATTTATGAATTCTGCATTCTGGAATTATATTAAGTAAACAACAAAAAGTTATGGTTACGATCTGACTTGGTCCAAGGCCTCTGGTGTTAGGTTTAAGAATTTTACTGTTTCTAAGTATTTCCCTATTGATCTAGTTTAAAAATGACTTCTCCCAGACTGATAAAATTGACTCCAACAATTTACTTTATGTCATTTATCGGTGGAAATGACACCTCTTAAGCCACTTTCTGCAAAAATGCAATGGAACACTTCATCCAAACGAAGACCTGCTTGGCCATAACGTCACAGGATAAACAAAGAGTAAAACACAGAATGGGAACGTCCTTTCGTATCACATAACAAGAAGCTGAAGGAAAAGAAGAGGAGAGACAGAAAAAAGCCTGATCCTCACACCCCGAATGCTTCCCTTGCATTCTGGCTTGTCGTTTCTATCTGGAAGATCAGCCGCATACTCCATCACGGGCCCCAGAAACTGTCCAAAAAGACCCATATGACAAGAGCAGGCCCACGTCGCCAGCAGCCACCATAATTATCCACCTCATGGTTTATTATTTACACATGAGCAGCGCAGCTGTGGCGCATCATAACTCAAGTGCATGTGTAATAAGTCACGGCACCGCAGCCATCTCCTGTTCTGGCCCTTGACAAAACACCACATGATGACTTTTCCAAACTCCAGTTAAAACTGCTGAAGCAGAAGGAAGTGCCACTAAACCTAGCTACCTCCTATTTATCATACAATTTCCTGACTGATGGTTCCACAAACCAGCTGCTAAGTG